TGCGGTGATCATATCTCGACGGCCAAGGCTTGGGCTTCGGCATCCTAGCCGTGGAAGGTGTCCCTTTTTTCGAATGTCTCCATCTCGTCCCTTCCAGCTTTACACGCTGTCCCTTTGAAATCTTTCGCATCCGGCGGTGCAGGCTTTGATCATGCTTGAGTGTTTCCATTTTGCTCTTTTGGGCCGTGGTTCGCTCTTCGGGATCGATGTCTTACATATGTGGTGGTGTATGAGTGGTCGTCGGGCCGTCTGTGTTGGCGGGCTCTGTGCTGGTGCACTGAACTGTTGGCCCGCGGTCCCTATCACATCCGGCCTAAGAGCCTGCAGGGCCTCCGCGGTGATGAGGGGTTCCTGTGTCGCATACCCTTTATGGTGGAATTAGAATTTGACGTTGTCCCTCTCTGCTTTGTGCCTCCTCTAAGTGTGCACGGTGGATCTTTGGTGCGGCGCTTATGTTCTAGTCAAGTGAACTTTCATCGAATTGGCGCACCTGCGACCGCTCGTGCTTTCGGATGCAGAATTTGTTACTCGTGTAGGGTTCTCCAGCCCTGCAATAGCCCTATTCGAGTGATCTTTGCTCAATAAGAATGACCTCTGCGCTCGACTTTTCCCCTCATCTCTTTAACATTGGGGATTGTTCGGGTTGTGATGTCGCAAAGGAATGCTACCCGGTTGATCCTACTAGTAGTCATATGCTTGTCTCAAAGATTAACCCATGCATGTGTAAGTATGAACTAATTCGGATCGTGAAACTGCGAATGGCTCATTAAATTAGTTATAGTTTGTTTGGTGGTATTTGCTACTCGGATAACCATAGTAATTCTAGAGCTAATATAACCCAACTTCTGGAAGGGATGCATTTATTAGATAAAAGGTCGATGCGAGGCTCGCCCATTGCTCGATGATTCATCATAACTTAACGGATCGCATGGCCAATCTTGCCGGCGACGCATCATTCAAATTTCCGCCCTATCAACTTTCGATGTTAGGATAGAGGCCTACCATGGTGGTGATGGGTGATGAAAAATTAGTGTTCGATTTCGGAGAGGGAGCTTGAGAAACGGCTACCACATCCAAGGAAGGCAACAGGCGTGCAAATTACCCAATCCCGACACGGGGAGGTAGTGACAATAAATAACAATACCGGGCTCTTCGAGTCTAGTAATTGGAATGAGTACAATCTAAATACCTTAACAAGGATCCATTGGAGGGCAAGTCCGGTGCCAGCAGCCGCGGTAATTCCAGCTCCAATAGCATATATTTAAGTTATTGCGGTTAAAAATCTCATCGTTGGACTTTGGGTTGGGTCGGTCGGTCCGCCTCGGGTGTGCATCGGTCGCCTCATCCCTTCTATCGGTGATGCGCTCCCGGCCTTAACTCGGCCGGGTCGTGCCTCCGGTGCTCGTTACTTTGAAGAAATTAGAGTGCTCAAAGCAAGCCTACGCTCTGGATACATTAGCATGGGATAACATCATAGGATTTCGATCCTATTGTGTTGGCCTTCGGGATCGGAGTAATGATTAACGGGGATAGTCGGGGGCTTTCGTATTTCATAGTCGGAGGTGAAATTCTTGGATTTATGAAAGACAAACAACTACAAAAGCATTTACCAATGATGTTTTCATTAATCAAGAACAAAAGTTGAGGGCTCGGAGACGATCGGATACCGTCCTAGTCTTAACCATAAATGATGCCGACCGGGGATTGGCGGATGTTGCTTCTAGGACTCCGCCAAGCACCTTATGAGAAATCAAATTTTTTGGGTTCGGGAGGAGTATGGTCGCAAGGCTGAAACTTAAAGGAATTGACGGAAGGGCACCACCAGGAGTGGAGCCTCGCGGCTTAATTTGACTCAACACGAGGAAACTTACCGAGTCCGGACATAGTAAGGATTGATGGAATGAGAGCTCTTTCTTTTTTGATTAAAATGTAAGTATATTAATCAAAGAGAAATAAGCTAGAAAAGCCAACAAGAGAAGCATATACGGGATGTGCAAAAGGTGGGAACAGGCTCCCAAAAAACCAAAGCAAAAGAGCTAGAGCTAGATGGTTGATTGAGGAATCAAACATTAGACATTCCAGGAACAACTAGACGAGAGATCAAACACTAGCTAACTGGAACCATTTACAAAGGCTCAACAGACTTATAAAAACTTTTGCTGAAAAAACCCAAAAGCGATACGAGCTATGAGAGTGGGCCTACGTGAACAAAAGAAATAATGCTAAGTATGCCGGCTACGAGTACAAAGCATAAGGCGGTAGAATGAACATGAAATAGAGCCGAGCAAGCGGGATGAGAGACAAGCCAATCTAGGTCGAGGGCGATAGAGTGAGAAATGTCAACCAACATTGAGAATATTGTGGTCCTTCTCATGAAAGTGGAAAATCATAAAGAAAAGAACTCGAAATCTTGGAAAAGAACGATCAATTGGGGTCGGAGAGTGAGTATCATCAAAACATCTCTTTTTCTTCTCTTCCTAAATAAGATAAACAATGATCCCTAAAGAAAGCCGACACATTCGGGCTTCCAAGTTATTCCTTCGGAGAGGAGGCCCCGAATGGCACCAAGTAGCATAGACACGCGTCGACGAATTTGCAGCCCGGCGCGACTAGCGCCCGGAGGCATACGGTTTAGGGGCACTCAAAGAACAGGTGTGAGTGAGATTTCGAAGCGGACCGACGGAGGACATAGTCGACATCCTTCAAAATAAATCGAAGCCGATCTATAGTTTTGAGCTTCCTTTGAACGACCAACCATAGAACGAAAGCGTGCCTTGGCAAGGCCCATCTGCTCCTAGATAACTTTGTGCCAATTCACCGGATTGCTCGTCGGGCGAAGGTCGTGGTAGGCATTACGGAAGAAATTGGTGAGGCCCCAAGCTTCTAAGCGCGTCGTAGCCGGAGCGCTTACCCCGAATTTTCCAAGCAACTTGTCACGCGTGGAGAGCAATGCCTTTCGGGTGGGTTAGGCGGATTTACGAACTTGGCATTGCCACACTCGGTCGATCCCTTAGATAGTAGTGATGGACCCATCGGATCCAAATTGAGTCCGCCTTGCGGTGGATGTCCCACAACCGGCGCGTAAGGTAACACCGGTGGAGAGTAGCCGGATGCCATAGCGCCGGGCCTCCTTCCTCTTTCGAGTCGACAAATCCGAGACCGGGTAACCAAGGCCGAGTGACCCCTCTTATAGTCCCCGGTCCACAAGAAGTTGCGGCAAATGCTAGTAATGCGAGAGAGGACCACTGCTTGGAAGAGGAAAGATCGCTAACTAGAAGTGAGTAATCCCTGCTAATACCGAGCACAATAGATCAAGCCGGCCAATGTAAGACAAGTGCTTCCTCATCCAAGATTAGACCGCCGACTCTAAGCTTTGCAAAAGGGGGAGAACCGGGTCGGCTAAGAGACGGTGAGGGCTAAGGGGGACACCGAGGTAACGAAAGGGGAAGGAGCCTTCCAAAAACCTCATATCCTAGAGAATAACCCGCTTCGAAGAGCTTCCTATGCCACCAAAGTATATCGAAGACCGAACCGAAGCCCTATCGACTTGGCAAAGAAGCATAATATCATCCGCAAACGCAATGTGACCGATTCTATGAAATTCACACTCGCGGATGAAAATGGAAGCCGGCTCTATCCGAGGCAAGCAGGAGCATGCGGGAGAAGTATTCCATGCACACAATGAAGAGATAGGGGGAGAGGAGGTCTCCTTACCGAATCCCACCCTTGCCATGGAATAAACCAAACAAGCGACCATTCATCAAAACCGAGTAGGAAGGTGATTCCACACAAGCCATGATTAAGTGGACAAAAGTACTCGAGAAGCCAAGCGACATGAGAAGATTACGGAGAAAGGCCCATTGCACGGAATCAAAAGCCTTCTTAAAGTCCACCTTCAAAAGGCACCGAGGCGAGGCACACTTACAACCATATTGCCGGAGCAATTCTTGGAGAAGGTGGATGTTATTCGAGATTTTCCTTCCGCCTAAGAAAGCGTTCGCATGGGGCCGATAATGCCCACCAAAGCTCTCGCTAACTCTGGAAGAGAGAATTTTAGAGAAAAAGTCTTGTACAACCGCACAAAAATCAACCCCCACTATGTCCCAAGCTTGTTTGAAAAATAGAGAAGAGTAGCCATTCGGACTCGGGGCTTTATTGTTGCCGATTCCAAATAAAGTCTCACCGATTAAGTCATCGAAGCCGGCGCAAGGAGAAGCGCGTGAGAATGCGAATCAAGGCAAGGCTCGCGAGAAACAACCTTGACATCGAGGGGAGTGGTAGCCCGAGCAATGCCAAGAAGCCGCGATAATACCCAACAAAAATATCACCTACTCGGAGAAAGCGAAGTCGTAAGTCGACCCTTATTATCTTCGATAGGCCGCAATAAAATTCTTCTTGTGATTTTGGTTATGAGGGAGTGAAAGAACCGACTACCCCTATCACTCTCTTCAAGGAACTTGCATTTGAGCTTCGACCGTAAAACATTTTCTCCGCGGACTTGAGATTGACCAAGGCCGGCATGTGCCGCTTGTCCTACTCAAGAAGGTTGTCTTTATCTTTGTCGAACTAAAGGACCCGCTGAATATGCTCAAGGTCGGCTTGTACTCGAGCCACACGCTTAGAAATATGGCTGAAGTGAAGCTTATTTAGTTCATGCAGAGGCCACTTTAGAGTCTTAAGCTTGTGGCGGAGAATGAACATCGTGGCGCCTTGTATACCACGGGCCTAGTGACGATCAACAAGCTAGAGGAAGCTATCATGGTGAGCCCACATGTTGAAAAATTTGAACGGCTTTCGCCGAGGGAGGCTAACTATCAATCCGAAACCAAGCTTGAGCATGATCGAAAAAACCCCCGGATCGAAATGGACTGAAAAAGGCGAGAGAGGAACCGACCGCAGAGGGTTAGCGAGAACTCTATCAATATTAGTCCAAACACTACCGTTGTTCTAAGTGAACTGGTCGCTCGTATACGTTAGATCTCGTAGACCCGGATCCAAACAACGAGAACGGAAGTCCGTTCCTTTGGCCCGACCGAAACTAATGTCCACTCACCCGCCGCAGCCCCGACCTCCGAAACCATAGGGTCAAAAGGAGCAGACTCCGAAGGAGCGCTAGCAAGGCTAGGAGGCACCGTCGAGCCCCCTCCGATATCGGGCCTGCGGGTATCGGCTAGGCTCGGATTCATCACTCGGCTACGCTCCGATTCCGACCGGCCACTAAAACGGCCTTCCCGCAAGAAGCTATAGAATGCCCCGAATTCAATAATAATTGCAATGCATCGGGACTCGTTTCATACACCACTTGTTGGTGAAGAGAAGAGCCATTCGGCAGCCCAATGCTTAAGAATTTCGAAGCTCCTTCATGATGTTGACTTTAACCAAAACTCTAACGTAGAAGATCCGCTCCATAAAGGCGAGTAGCCGGTCACACTCGGAGAGGCTTGCCCAACAAGCTAGCCACTTTCGAGAGGCATAAAGGGGACTAGCAGTTAAGAGGCGGATTCAAAAACTTCACCCAAAATGACACTCGAGCCATTTCGATGAGGGAAAAATCAAAGAATTCGGGCATAGGTCGTAGCAATAAGGGCCGGCCAAAAATCGGATAAGGGCCCCCATTCGGAACCGATAACTTATCTTCTTCGGAGGCAAACTTATACACAAGCCAACTCGGAGTCATGAATCGATAGCGAAGCTTGACATTGCCATATGTTCTCAATAATTCCGAACAGAGCCCTATAACTCGGAGACTTCCCGATAACATAACCAATAAGACAAGACTTCCACATTTTACATTTCGAATCATCGACAAGCAAAATACAAGTTTTACTTTGAGTTATAGCACTATAATGAGTGAGTTTTGGGCATAGGGTGGCATTACGATTAGAGGCAAACAAATCATGCCATTTGGAAGAAGGAGCTTTAGAAATACCGGGTCGGTTGGGGGAGGAGAATGGGGGTCATCCATCGATCGAAGGTCCGGTGGAGTCCGACGGAGTAGACTCGGATGCCTCTAGCCCTCTACGAGAATTGGAGCCGAAAACGGGCCCTCCACGTTGAGGAGGAGAGGAGAGGGCGAACGGGAGTCAACCAAAGTTTGGGCGGGAATTGGGGAGGCTAGAAACTTTTTGCAGGAAACCAAATTTTCACCCAAACTTGAAATTCTAGCAGCTGAAAGTTTTGGCGGGAAGCCAAATTTTCACTCAACATTTTAGGGGGAAACCCAAATTTTCAACCGAACTTGCAGAGCTACCTTCCTCATCGAATCCGACCCTTCTTCATCGAAGCTTGATGCTTCTTCACTAAAAACTTCTTCCACGAGCAGCAGCAACCGGAGGGTCCGAGAGGGCTGCGATTTGGACCCGTCGGGGGAGCACCGACCGAAAACGAGATTGATTTAGAGTTGGTGGCCGGAGCAACCGGAGCAATGATTGGTTCTTCTCGGCTTGGTGTTTCCTTCGACTTAGGGGCGTTTTCTTCTTCTTCTTAGCCATGGCCAAAGGGGGAAAAGGTAAAGAGACGAGAGGGCGGGGAAAGAGAAAATGGAGAAGGAAATGGAGGTGTGCGGGGAGAGAGAAACAAGGGGAAGAAGAAGATGAACGAAACCATCGAGAGGGAGGGAAGGCTAGAACTATGGCGGAATATCGGAGGGAAGGAGGTTCGGAGGTGACGCCGACTAGAACTTGAGGAAAGATCTCCATTGGAGGAGAGCATCTCTCTCTACTTTCTCTCTCTTGGGGTGCCTACTACTACCGAGGGCACCGAGAGCTCTTTCTTGATTCTATGGGTGGTGGTGCATGGCCGTTCTTAGTTGGTGGAGTGATTTGTCTAGTTAATTTTGTTAACGAACAAGACTTCGACTTCGCTAACTAGATATGCGGAGGTGGCCCTCTATGGCCAGCTTCTTAGAGGGACTATGGCCTTCCGTGCCAAGGAAGTTTGAGGCACATAGCGTGTCTGTGATGCCCTTAGATATTCCGGGCCGCACGTATGCTACACCGATGTATTCAACGAGTCTATAGCCTTGGCCGATAGGCCCGAGTAATCTTTGAAATTTCATCATGATGGGGATAGATCAATGCAATTGTTGGTCTTCAATGAGAAATTCCTAGTAAGCGCAAGTCATTAGCTCGTGTTGACTACGTCCTTGCCCTTTGTACACACCGTCCGTCGCTCCTACCGATTGAATGGTCCGGTGAAGTGTTCGGATCATGGCGATGTGGGCGGTTCGCCATCGGTGACGTCACGAGAAGTCCACTGAACCTTATCATTTAGAGGAAGGAGTAGTCATAACAAGGTTTTCATAGGTGAACCTACGGAAGGATCATTGTTGAAACCCGCCCGGCGAATGACCTACAAACTTGTGGTCGAGCATGCTAGGGGCTGCAGGGGGCTCTTGTCCCTTGCGTCCCTCAGGGGCCGTGGACGGGTGCATCCGCACTCGACGCAGCTCAAAAACAAACCTCGACATGAGAAGCGCCAAGGAACTAGAGTACGAAGAGCACGCCCCGTCGTTAAAGGGTGCTCTAGGGGTGCATCTCCAATTTATGATAAGCTAAATGACTCTCAACAACGGATATCTTGGCTCTTGCATTGATGAAGAACGTAGCGAAATGCGATACTTGGTGTGAATTGCGGAATCCCGTGAGCCATCGAGTTTTTGAACGCAAGTTGCACCCGAGGCCTCATGGCCGAGGGCACGTCCGCCCGGGTGTCACGCATCGTCGCCCCCAAACCCCTCTCG